AGATACTTGATATCATTCATCACAAAATGCAAAATTAAAATCACAGATACCACTACATACCTGTTTTAATGGCTAACACTTTTTAAACTGACTCCCTCAAATGTTGACAAGGGTGTGGAGGAACTGGAACTCTCTAACACTGCTGATGGGAATATACAATTGTACAACCATTTGGGAAAACAATTTGGTCATTTCTTAAAAAGTTAAACATACCTATTTCCATGTGATTCAGCATTTTATTCCTAGACATTTATGCAAGAGAAATAAAAGTTTATGCCCTACAAAGACTTGTAAATAACCATTTATAGCAGCTTTATGTATAATAACCAAAAATGTAGAAGCAACTCATTGTCCACAGGAGAATGAATAAACAAATGGTGGTATGTCCATACAATGAATACTACTTAGCTATAAAAAAGAATTAACTACTGATAGCTTGGATGCATCTCAAATAGTTATGCTTAGTGGAAAAGGGCAGACAAAAGGAGTACATACTTATGATTCCATTTACATAAGATAAATGCAAATTGACCTGCAGTGACAAAAAGCACATCAGTGATTGCTTGGAGAGGAGATTGCAGAGGGAGGCAGAAAGGTTCATTATCTCGATTGTGGTGACAGATTCACGGGTATATAGATATGTCAAAACTTACCAAATTTTATACTTTAAATATGTGCAGTTTGTCATTTGTCAGTTATAGCTCACCAGAAGGAGAAGGGAGCTTGTGGACTGTGCCTTTGGGAGACCACTGTGGTATGTACTGCAAGAGTCCAGGTGTCCCATTTACAAGGAGGGAAAGGAACCAATGAGTGGGACAAACTGAGTTCCTGGGATGCGTGACAAATGGAGAAAGTGTCATATTTCTCTCTTACTGGAAATTTCAGCATCATATTTTGTCTTTCTTATCGTGGTAGAAAAAACATTTCAGAAAATTCCTTGTGTTTCTTAATGTCAGATTCCAAATGTGGTATCTAAGTATTAATCAGCCCAGAATTCAGGTCAATCTGATTTTTATTTTCATTGAGAAATTCTTACATGCTTGCTGCTTAAACTGTTGCCAAAGAGGGAAAAACAAATTGCTCAGCATCTTTTCTTCCTTTTTCAATAGACCTGATAATTGAGCCCAGTTTGGGGGCAGATTGTATTTCAGCTCCAACATTAGCAACTACAGGTGTCAGTGTAGCACACAGTTGCAGACACACACACACACACACACAGGTGTCAGTGTAGCACACAGTTGCAGACACACACACACACACACACACACACACACACACACGTGTTTCCAAGTCCAGGGTTTGTGATGAGACCAGTCACTCAGCACAATGGGTTGGGAAAGCATTTTTCCACTTGTAAAGAAAGGAGTTTTGCTTCTCAGCCCCAGCACGTGATCTCCCTGAAATGCCTGTAAGTTCATCTTAAGGTCAAACTCACTATCATTTCCATTCTACTTTACCTCAGAAGTGATTCTTCAAAATTATATTCCTCAGCGTATTAAATATCAGAATAATCCAGGAAAGATACGTACATGTATGCGGCGAGTGGTTTCTGTGGCTAATGGTCATGAGAGAAATGTTTTGTTGTTTTGGGGCTTTGTTAAATAAAAGTTTTTAAGAGTTTTTAGGACCTGTTGTGGACTGGGCCAGTGAAACAGCTCTGAACTCTTCTTCCCCTGGGCACAGTGAGCCAGGGGGCTGGCCTGTGACTCCTGAGGTTCATTTCAAGGGCTGTTGGGGCAAAGTTGTTCTTGGAGCTCACCCTGCCTGAGCGCATTGCAGATGTCTCTTCCTGAGACTCTCATGGTAGGGAACCAGGTTTCTTCCTCCTGGGCCTGTCTCCTCTATCCTGCCACTCAGTCTGAGTCACACCCCCCCCCATCATGTACGCGCAGGTCCCTTGGAGTGGTGCTCTTGATTCAGAACCAGGAGGTCTGACTAGAGGTCTTTGCATAGCATTAAAGGTCAGGTCAGGAGGGAAAGCACGGGAAACTGTCGGTCTGCACACTGGTTCAGAAAGCAGACGGGGCCCCCTGAGAGCCAGGCCTAGTAGAGCACCGCACCAGGGCCCGTGTCTGCTGGTGTGCATTTGTGTCAGTAGAGACAAGTGTCTGAAAGAGGATTGTTGTGCTAGAGGACGTGGTTGATGTTTGAGCCAAAGACTAGAGACCTAACAAAGCAAGGAAAGAAAGCTATTTTTTAAAATTGTATTTTCCATTTTAGAAATGGAAGAAAGTATTACTAATTGTAATAACCACTTACATGAACTTACTTTTATGCCCAGTTATAATGCTTCAAAATAATAACTTGATCATTAAATATGTATCAGATTAACTTACATTTTATTTAATTATAACTATAAACTCTTCAAGTATGCTTTAGCTTTATAATTAGTTGCTCAAATAACATAATCACAGGAAACCCATGTTATCTATTTCTTTCATTTTCACTGATGAGAGAATTCATACTTAATACATATGCTTACAGTTCTAAAAAACCTGGAATATGGCATACTACCTAGCTCGTCAGAGCCCTGTCACAGTTGTCCCATGGAAAGCTCTCCTGTCCCGTGGAGCCTGATGCAACAGGAGGAGCAGTGGCTCAGGGCAGGAAGTCAGCTCCTTTGCTTAAGAGTCAGACTCTCTTAAGTCTTCCTAAAATCCACTATATTTTGTGTTACTTATGAGCTAAAATTTTAGTTCAATTAAAAAGCCAATAAGAAAGTGTTGGAGAAAGAAAAAACTTTTAATCATCACAGAAAACTAGGTTTCTGCCCAGGTGACCAATCAATGATATCCGGATTATGACTTTAAATTCCCATTGACCTATTGGGCAATCTGCATATTGTCCACATTCCTGCTCACTTTGGCTGACCAAGTGTGGTTCCACATTGCCAAGTTAAACATGGAGAGGAAAGCTGGCTCCTAGACAGCCTGCCAGCAGTGTTCATTTAAAACAGCTTTTAAGCAAGGACAATCATTGAAACTTATCTCAAGCAAACAAAATTCTCTAACTAGTTGCGAGAGGTGGTTTGAACAATATAGAGGTGAGATTGCTGGGCAGTTTGGAGAGTGTCACGAGGTCATCAGCCTACCTTCTGCCAACATAAGATAGCTCCACAGAGTCTGCAGATTGCTTGCCTGGAGTATGCTATAGCCCAGGGACTAGTCCAAGCTCTGCCTTGCTCCCTCCCTCCCGTATCATCCCCTTGTCTTTATTACTGTGTCCAGTGATCTCACTGCCTAACATACTGATGAAAATTTAAGTTTAAAAGGCATGAGCCCCTCCGCCTTCCCTTGTCACGTGAACATATTTCTTTTTTATCTACTTTTCTATCCCTTCTCATTTCCAAGACTGTTCCCTATTTCTGGGCCCCGGCCCTGTTCACTCTTGTTTTCCCAGGGCCTTACTCTCAGTTATCAGTCTCGCTACGATTTGTTCTCTCTGTATTGGCTACTTCTGTGTTGCCTTCAGACAGGCACAGTTTCTTTTCTCCAGAAAACCTCCCTTGCTATCTCCCTAAATGACCTTCTCTCCTTGTTCCTTTCGCTGCCAAACTTGTGTAAGTACAAGTTTTATTGTTTATTACATACTGTTACACCGCAAGTGCCTGGAAAGCAAGAACTGTAACTTACATGAATTTCTTTCTGTCAGGTGCCTAGCACAGGAGAAGGTAGTGAATGGGGCACAGACCTTGGAGCCAAACAAGCCGGGGTTCACGTTTGGGCTCCCTAGTCTCTGCTGAGTGACGCTGGGCAAACTGCTGAATCTTGCTCATCCTTGGCTTCCTTATTTGTAAAGTGGTGATAAAAATGCCTGTCTTCAGAGGATCTGAATAGACATTTTTTAAAGAAGATATATGAATGGCCACGAGGTACATGAAAAAGTGCTCAGCATCACTAATCATAAGGGAAATACAAATCAAAGCCCCAGTGAAATCACCCCATATCTGTTAGGACAGCTGTCATCAAAATGGCAAGAGGTCACAATTGTCAGTGAGGATGTAAGGAAAAGGGAACCCTGCTTGCTGTTGGTGGGAATGTAAGTTGGTGCGGCCACTGTGGAAACAGTGTGGAGGTTTCTCAGAAAATTAAAAATGGAACTACTGTATGATCCAGCAGCCCCACTTCTGGGTACATATTTGAGGGAATGAAATCACTCTCAACGAGATATCTGTGCCCCCATGTTCACTGCAGCATTTTTCACACTAACCAGGATATGGAGACAGCCTACTTGTCTATCTATGGATGATGGGTAAAGACAATGTTTCATATATAAACAGTGAAATACTGGTCAGCCATGAGGAAATAAGGAAATATTTCTGTTTGCAACAACTTGAGGGCGTTACACTAAATTAAATGTCGTAGAAAGATGAATACTGTATGATTTCACTTGGTTGTGGAATCTGAAAAAGCCAAACTCATAGAAACAGGGCAGAATGGTAGTTGCCAGGGTCTGGGGAGTGAGGGGCATGAGGAGATGTTGGTCATGGGGTAAAAACGTCCAGCTATAAGAAATTCTGGGGATCCAGTGTACAGCATGGTGACTATAGTTAAAAGGTACTGTATTATATACTTGAAAGTTGCTAAGAGAGTAGAGTTAAATGTTCTCCCCCCAAAAAATAATAATCATTGTGTGAGTGAGGGAAGGGCTACCTATAACCCTACTGTGGTAATCATTCCATGGATATACATATCAAATCATCACGTGTACACCTGAAACTCACACAGTGTTTTGTCAGTTATATCTCAATAAAATCAGAAAAAATGATGTCTGTCCTGCAGTGTTGTTATGGAGATAAATGAGATTGTGTTATAACAGCCCTAGCATGGAGTCTGGCACATTCAAGGTGCCGGAAAGGCTGGCTCCCCTCCCCCCGCACTCATGGCAGGATTCAGCGAAGCGACCATGCAGCTCCTGCGCGTCTCGGCTCAGCGTTCAGGGGCATGGCCTCCACTTGTCTGGCTTGATACGTACTCTTTTCTTTGCCTTGTGTGTTTCAGGTCCACCACCAGTATCCAACCGAGTTTGAATTCAATCTCTATTACTTAAAGTTCTTGGCTTTCCACTATGTATCTAATCGCTTTAAAACATTTCTCCTGGATTCTGACTATGAAAGATTAGAGCACGGTACGTGTTTGCACGCTCTTGTTTTATCTTTTTTGTTACTTTTGTGTGTTTTTATTTAAAACTCTGATAACGTAACTGCCCTCACGTGTGGGAAGGCCATTTTAGGGTTTTGCCCTGAACTACAGAAGCACAGGGGATGTGAAACACATGCCCACATTCTGAGGTGATGTGCTGCGTTAGCTCTTAGGCACTGCAAGTGGTCATCCCCATAGCTCCTTTGAACAGTTAGATCTCTTACTATCTTAATATCTCAAAGTGGTATCACTGTCTGGGGGAAACATTTTACTCAGTTTTTCCACCCCTGGCACACTCTCTGGGTGGGAAATGTGCCCTTGGAGGCAGCGTGAGTAGCAGTGAAGGCCCTGGGCTCTGGAGCAAACAGACGTGAGTTAAATTCCAACACCAACTGAATATTTTGGACAAGTACAGTACCTCTCTGAGTTCAGTTTCTTCATCAAAATGGCCCTTTGAGTCACGATGATCATAGTAGGAAATATTTGTAAATTTCTTAGCACAACTTGCTAGCACATAGTAAGCACTGAATAAATTTTTGGCATACCATCATAATTTTTAACAGCAGTAGTAGTCGTATAGAGTAGATGCTGAAACTCAGCCCCTGTGAAAACATTCTCCAAGGAGATTTTACATTCCTACCTTGGTTGTTGTAGGGAGAGAGGAGGGAGCATACACATGACTAAGAAGATGAGCAAATTTTTAAAAATCAACAATTTTCAGAATATTACAGGTACCTGCATAGTCATAACAAGGACTCTTTTAGTAGCTGAAAGTATTTACTGACATTCTCAATTTAAAATATGAAATCAGGAAATACTGTTTTCCAATGCATGCTATTAAAATTGCCTAGTAACCCTGGCCGGTGTGGCTCAGTTGGTGGGAGCATCGTCCCATACACCAAAAGGTCAAGGGTTCGATTCCCAAGTTGTGGGTCCAGTCCCTGATCAGGGTATGTACAGGAAGCAACCCATCTATGTTTCTCTCTCACATCAGTGTTTCTCTTTCTCTCCCTCTCCCTTCCTGTCTCTCTAAAATTAATAAAAAGATATCCTCGGGTGAGGATTTAAAAGAATTGTCTAGTAAGATATTTCATACTTTTAGTAAGGGAGACAGCACTGGTAAGACCGTGTTCCATCCTGTTTATATTTCCAGACCTTTGTTGACTCAAAGAATTGTCATTCCACACATCATAATCAGAAACCTTAATTTGTTAAGCACCCGTATGTTGGGAAGGCATTAAGTAGAGCTGGTTATACTGAACATTGGAATCACTTGGAGAACTTTTAAAACAACTAATACCTGGAACCGATGCTCAGAGGTTCTGATTGATGGTCTGAAGTGAGACCTGGGCATTGGGATTTTTTAAAGCATTGATTTTTGACTGAGTCATTTCATTCAAAGCAAGACAGCATTATTAAGAGAGGCACCCATCCTGGCCGTTCAAAGAAATACCTCCTGCCTCACCCCAACACATCTTCCTCTCAATTAAAAACAAAGTGGGCTCATGTAATAGACTGTTGAAAGGTACAAAAATAATGTCAGAAAATCCCTGAGAGACTCCCCTAAATTAGGCTTTTGTTCTTAAGTCACCCAGCAGTCCAGACTACACCCTTCTGTGTTCCAAAGTCTCCATGACCATGATTTGTGGTGTCTATAAACTTCTAAACAAGAAAACACTTGAAATGGCTTCATAATAAACAGCCCACGGCTTTAAACAGAAACATAAAATTATGCTCTTAACTGAGTTTCATCAAATCAACTCTAAGTCCTTCCATTTTCTCTTGAAGAATGTATAGAATGTCTCCATGCTGGTCTCTGGGGATCTCAACATAGATGCAGAATGTAGATTGGAAGAGAGTCGTGATGCCCTGTAAATGCTGGAGAAATGTTATCAGCTGTTTTCGTTCCATTTGGATTTGTTTCCATGTAACTGTGAAGTTCATTCCTATCTTTAGCTTTGCAGTTATTTTCTAAGGTTTCTGCACGTACATTGCTGTTCCTAGAGCCATAGGAAATATTTCACTTTTCATCTGCCACATGCATCATGGTTTTAGGCAAACTGTTGATTTATTTGAGTTTTGTTGAATTCCTTTGGATTTACAGGAACTTTATTTGATGATAAAGGAGACAAGCATGCCAAAAAAGGAATTTGTATTTGGGAGTGTGTTGACAGAATGCACAAGAGGAGTCCTATTTTCTTTAATTATTTATATTCACCAGTGGAAATTGAGGTAAGAAAGCATTTATGTTTCATTTTCTGAATGTTTTGTGTTAAAGTTTTCCTTACTTTGAGTGTGCACAAGCTGTTTAGGCTTTTTATAAACATTTGATTAGGTTTCATACCAGAAGCTATTCAGAAGTTTGATAGAACATAGCTTTGGGTTGTGATGGAATTGAGACTGTTCACCAAAGTCTTGACCACAAAAATTAGGATCTGGCCCCCAGACCTGGAAGGGATAACTTCAAGAACATCAAAGCAAGTCAACTTTCCCCAGGAAGAAAGAACAGACAAAACTTGAAACCTCTGTCATCTAAACTGACAGATCTAAATACTTTAGAAAAGTTTCCTGAGTCCATTTGTGCCAAAGCCATGGGAGAACCCCTGTTGGAAGCAGGAGTGTTTAGAGCCCATTCCGGGAAGGATGACTTCCCAAGCGCAGCCATACTCTGCCACACACATCTCTAAGAAATGAGGCTGAGGTGGGACAGGCTGGTTTGATAAGCAGTAGCACCTTACTGAGGAGCAGAAGGCCCTTGCCCTGACCCCATGCATCAGGACCCCACTCCGGCCTTTCTCCTGCTGCCCCTTCCTCATGGGGTGAGGGGCACAAGAAACCAAGAGAATGCCCCTCCTTCACCTAAACCACCCTCTGGTACCTCAGAATTCCTCACCCAAATTCTCCAAGACTTAGCCCACTTCTCTGAGTCTGTCTCCCAAACCAGTGCATATTCCCCTAGGCCCAAAGGGCAACTATGATGTAGCTTTTTGGCAGGGAGTGGACAGAGTTTAGCTGCTGGCCAGGGGTATACACACACATTCATAAAAGACCCTCAGAATATAGGACAGAGCCCAGGAGGAGGAGCAGGGGGTCAGCCAAGGACGGGGCTGGGACCCCTCCTCAGTGCCACACACTTTCTGGTGTAGAAGTCCAAGGAGTCTAAGATTGGAGCCTGGCCTTGCAGGTCATTAAGGAGTTCTGTTTGTCAAGATAGGATAGAACATATTTAATCATTAATTTTGATGCATACATTTAAATATTTAGGCATGTGGTAATTGAACCTCCATTCATATTCTTGCCCTGGACCCTGCAAATTTTAGGGGCTGGCCTGCAAATAAACTCGGGGTCAAGATGAGACTATATTTCAGAATTTTCTTTAAACAGGCCCTGAAGCCCAATGTGAATGTCTCCAGCCTCAAGAAGTGGGATTACTACATAGAGGAGACCCTGTCCACAGGGCCTTCCTATGACTGGATGATGCTGACCCCCAAGCAGTTCCCCTCTGAGGACTGTGAACTGGCCGGAGGTGCTGGCCCCCAGAGCCAGAGGAGGACAGTGTGGCCGTGCTATGATGATGTCAGCTGTACACAGCCCGATGCACTCACCAGCCTCTTCAGTGTAAGTTGGCAGCGTGTAGGCACACACCTGGGGCCCCGTGGAGGTGCAGGAGGCCTTGGGAACCAGGATGGTTAAGCCTGACTAGTTCACAGACTTCTGGGTGTGGCTCTCCCCACTCTGGTCGAGGTAGCACTCCAGGGGGTTGAGGAAACCAAACTTGCTCCCCAGCATCAGTGGGGGACCAGGCTCAGCTGCTGGAAAAGAGTCTCAGTGCAAATGAGTTTTCCAGCATTTCGAGGAAGCAGTCAAGCAAATGGAGCACTTTGCAGCTGCCCAGCTGTTTAACTGCCCAGGCAGCCTGAGTCAGGCTGGGTTATGGCTTCTGTCGGTGCTTTGCTTCCTCTGGTCAGACATGTGGGTAGCTGATGGCCTGACGGGAGTACTGCCAGCCGTCTTCTACAAGGAACATACTGGCAGCAGCCACCCTGGTGAGAGCCTCAGCCCCAAGGAAAGATAGGGGCCAGGCAGTTCCTAAAGAGTCTCTGTCGGTGTTCTAACTAGGGGGGCCTCAGTGAGAGCTGTCAGAGGCACTGCTCTGACTGCCAGCCCCCTCTCCGAAGGAAACTCTGCTCCTTAGGAATTTCTTAGTTCGTTCTTTCCCCATCTGGTTTGAATCATGAGTTGAGGGGTTCCTCTGTCAAGGACAGACTCCTCATCTACCTCAGCTATTAGGGTTTGGACACTGGCCCAGTGCTTGACCTTTTGCTGTGGCCATCAGATTTCCAGTAGACTGGCCAAGGGTGTTTTGGATGCATATTCTCTCTATTGAAGCCATTCTGTATAAACCATCCTGGTTAGAGCTTCATAAATCTTCCTTGCCTCAGTGCCTCACACTGGCAGGAGCACCACCACTGCTTCTGGCTCAGGAAGCCTCCAAGGCCCTGTATTTACCACTGTCGTCAGCTGCCCTGTGGCTACACTGTTCATCTGCACCCAGTACAGAGATGTGGCTTTGGGGCACATCCTGATTTCTATGAAATACTAATCTGTCAGGAAACCCTTTTAATTACTTCGCAGGAAATTGAAAGATTGGAGCATAAATTGAACCAAACCCCTGAGAAGTGGCAGCAGCTGTGGGAAAGGGTGACCATGGACCTTAAAGAAGATCGTGGAGCAGACCGAGTGAGTTGGCAAAGCCCTGAGGAGCTGCTTCTGAGCTTTCTAAGGGTGCTAGGTCAGGTGGGGCCCACTGCACAGGTAACCAGGTGGGCTTATGGCCAAAAAGCCAGGGTTGGAAGGCAGGGGTCCTGCCCCGGGTTCCAGGGCAGAAAGTTCCAGATGACCGAATACTTCCTGAGTGCCTCACTTCACCACAGTGACATAATGCTGATGCTTCAGGGCCCCGTGTCCAAGGAAATTACTGGGTTCTCTTCTATCTCAGAGCCTCTGCGGTTTCATCTGATCTCCTACCACATGAGGGAGAAGGGGACACCAAAGCCATGTTTCCTCAGAGAAATAATCAGGAAAAATAAAATGTTTAAAATATATATATGCTATTTTCTGTTGTTCACGTCCCCCTTCCTGTTTCTGACTTAAGAAACATTTATCATAAAAATAGTTTAAAACCAAATACTGTTTTCTGCTTCTCACACCCTATTTTCTCTTTCTGACTTAAGAAACTTTTATCAGCCCTAGCCAGTTTGGCTCAGTGGTTAGAGCATTGGCCTTTGAACTAAAGGGTCTTGGGTTCGATTCTGGTCAAGGGCACATACCTCAGTTGCAGGGTCAATCCTTGCCCCACCTGGGGCACATGTGGGAGGCAACCAATCGATGTGTCTCTCTCACATCGATGTTTTTCTCTCTCTCTCTCTCCCTTCCACTCTCTCTGAAAAGCAATGGAAAAAATATCCTCAGGTGAGGATTTAAAAGAAAAAAAAGAAACTTTTATCAGACATGTAATAAGTACAGGGGCCTGCGCTGAGCACCATACACCTAGCATCCTCCTTACCCACAGGGAAGGTGTGGGATCCCATCTTATACATGAGGGGCAGGCACAGGGATCACACAGCTGGTACTCAGTGCAGCCACCCCCACATCGGAGTGGCTCTCAGTGCAACACAGGGAAGTTAGGACAGTGTTCTGAAGAGCACTTTGGGGGGAGGGAGAGGTCAGCAGGGTCAGTCACAGAGGGGTCCAGAGAGTGGAGGGCAGGAGAAAGCCGCAGAGTGATCTAGAAGGGCTCCAAACAGCAGTTCAGGAGCCATTATCAGATGGGCCATAGGTGGGTGACGTCTTCTTTTTATCTCAGAAAAAAAAGTTCTTTGTCTTTTTTTTCTGTTTATGGAAGTGAGATATATTTATTCTTTTAAATAAGACAATATACAGAAAATCATAAAATAGAAGATAAAAATCACCCACAATTTATAACTCAGAGATAAACCACCCTGCTGTCAAACTTGTTTTATTCTAAACACATATAAAGGGGATTTGCTATACGTACTATTTTAAAGCCTGCTTTCTTTCTTTTTTTTTTTT